CCCTGTGTTTGAAGTTCCTCTCTTACAAATTCGGTGCTATGTTACCTCCCCTGCTCCCAGAGGAATGCAGCCAGCCTTCACAGAAGAGAAGGAGGTGCAAGTGGTAATGTAGAACTGAGAACAAGCTGTTGTGTGGGAGAGGCAAGATATGACAGTGAAGGATCTTCACTTTTCCTCTCCATGTATGAGGGCCAAAGTGGCAGCCGCTGAGTTGTTCGATAGCTGTTCCCAGTAGGGTGGGAAGAGGCTCCCCTTCCTATCTGATAGGATGCAGTTGTGCTTAGTCGTCTTCCGGGGTCACTTGGCACTGCACAGGGTTTGGACACATTTACTGGGGTATGTAGATATCAACTGAATTTGCAGCAGCAGCAGCAGTGAAGGAAATGTTCTCTAGCCCTTTGTGAGGACCTGAAGGAGGGAGTGCTTTTGAGCTTTACCACATTTGTAAACCACATCCTTGTGTCAATAGCTTTCACAGCCACCTCGAGAGACACACAAATGGTTCAGTGGCAGTAAACGCCCCAAAACATTGATACCTAGACTTGCCTGTTGAAGAATATCTTTAAGCTTTCTTTTTATTCGCTCTAATGTGTCCCCAGCTGGTATCCTTCAAAGGATATTAAACTGAATACAGCCAATATCTAAAGATTTCGTATGGTCATTTTGCTAGCACAGTACCAAGCACTTTATATAGCTGTGCACATTGTCCACTGTATGATCTTTGTAGGGTTACGTTACTGTCAGTTAGTTACAGTGTATAGAGCCCTTATTCTTGGACAGAGCCCCCCGCGTATAGTAATAGCAACACAGAATGATATAAATGGGTCACGGCATGGGTCCGTAACGAATCCTCTAGTTACAGGATGGAGATACCACCAGGTTAAAAATAGGCAGGAAAGTGCAAAAAGCTGTTTATCTGCCTCACAATCAATAGCAAAAGCAATAAGCCCACCATAATAGCTGTAAGCAGTAGGACTACTTGCCTGTCCACTTGATCATTATCTTTGCAGTCTTTAATTAGAAGAATTGTGTGCAGAGCTTTGAAAGGATGATTCGTGAGCTACTGTTACTGGTATTTGGGGCTCTTTCATGAGGACAAGTAAAAGGAGAAAATGGGAAGATCATTTTGCTTTGCTGTTAAAGAATCTCAGTAATCTGCAAGGCATCACCTCAGATTATCGCTGTGTTCTGCCAGGAAGGGAGGTAAATTAACACAGCGGGTATCGTCTTCATATTATGCATTTACAACTGCAAGAAACATGCAAAGTATGAATTTGGGAAATGACCCCCACATGTTAACAGCATAAGAGGGTTGGTTTCCTGTAGTCACCAAGTGGAGAGAGCTGCCAGCAGAGGAGTCACCTTTATATGACCTACTGACTTGCTAGAAATCGTTTACCCTGGGCCACCTAATCTCACAGCCAGAGGAAATTGCGGGGGAGAAGCCAGTGATGTAATTAATGCAGCTCCAAGAGTGTATCTGCACTGCTAAGCTAGTCCTGCTGTAGTGAACTTGGCCATCTGCAGTGTGATTCCTCCAGAAGCGGGCAGGAGCTGGTGCACCGAGCAGCAGGGTTTGCAGCTGCGTGTCTGCCCGTCACAGGGGAAGGTGTTTCTGTGCTCATGGGTGATGCAGTTTGGCCTGTGAATTCTGTGGCTTGCTCCCTGCTGATGATAAATTAGCATTAGCAGTGAGATTTGTGCTTCTGAGTCTAGCCTGTTTCTCTCTCTGCTTTGTACATACGGCTTCTTAACTATGTCACAGCTTTACCTCATTTTGAGTTATTGTCTCCCATTGCAGGGGTAACGCTTTATACCCTTTTCCTCCCTTGCTTTTTAGCATGTTGGCTTGCTGGATTTGGTTTCATCTCCAAGAAATCTACCTGGGTTGTAGAGGGGGAAGATGGTATCACAAAACACTTGGACAGATCTCTGTAGGCACTGCTATCATGAGACATTTTTGCATGTTTTAAGACCCTCTCTGATAACTATAGAGTGGATGGGGGCATCAGTAAATTATAATTTGATAGTAAATGCTTGTGGCCACATATACAACTTTGCTGATACATACAAACAGATTTTTCCCTTTTATGACAGCATAAATGGTGTTTGACATTTGAGGGTTATCAGGGCTTCCATGCCTCTTTAGTCACTTTGTTGTTTAGGATGGCATTTATTTCTGCATCTGTCTGCTCTTTATATTACTTTTGTGTCTCAAATAGGCATCTCAATAAGGCTGTTAGCGTTTTTTCTCCAGTTGGTTATATTTGTTTTCCTTTGCTTCTGGGAATCCTTTACTCTGATTTCTAGTTATGGTGCAGCGTGATTTTACTGTTAAATGGGCACTGAAATAGAATTGCTTCCTGTCCTAGGAACAGCTTTCCAATCTACCAATGATACAATGGCTTATTGTTCTTTCCCAATAATAATTGGGCATATTTTGCGTTAACAGGAGTTCAAAAGTTTATGAAGCAACTTTCTGAGCCTCTTCTTTTGCTGTCTGTAGAGAGATTAAGAAATGTAGCACATTTACACGCCTACAGTATATAAATATACTGTATAAATATCTGTAAGTTTTCAATGTTAATATGCTTAAGTTAAAACACTAGCTTACTCACATATACAGTCTCAGTTACCTTTCATATCTGCCAGTTATGTAGAAAAAACTAGACTTTTTGCTCAGTCTTTCTAGTAAGTAATTCAAACGCACACTCCTCTCTCTATTAACCAGAAAGATTTGCAGCCTTGTCCTTTATTCTGAACTCAGGATAACTGCAGGTACTCCCAGTGTAGTGCAGTATTGGGAAAATCCTATTCCAGCATGAGATTGTAGCTGATGTACTCAATTGCTCAGTGACAAAAATTCAGTGAAAAAGGTCTGGTTGTGAAAATTCTTATTTCCTTTTTTACTCTCTTTCCAATGTATTGAAAGTAATTTGTATGTAATAAGTCTGAATAGGAGAGGACCGTTTTGTTCTGTAAATTGATAGATTTTTCATAGGTAGGGCATGCATTCAAACAGGGCCCAAAGTCATCACCATCCATCGGTTCCTGAGAAATTGTATTATGTTTCCTGCCTACTTTTTAATAGAAAAATGCATGTCTCATACTATCTGCTGTCACGCTCAGCACCTGTGAATAAGTAAAAATGGATGGGACATGTAAGCCACGTGTTACGGATGAGCCCTATTTTTTTGGTATTGATATGAGTTAGCAAGGCTGTTCAGGAAAGCCTCATCTTGAGGTTAAGCTCAGTAGTATCTCTTCTGTGAAATAACAAAGACAATCTTACTTCCTCCAGAAGCTCTAGTTCATTCTTAATTTTTTTTTCTTTTATGAGGGGTTGTATATTCTGCTTATGCAACAATATTAACTTTTCCACTTTCCTCAAATGGAAGAATAAAGCTTTACACATCTACCTTGTTCTTAAATTGTGTAGCTGGATCTGTGTTAATATTTTTTCATGCTGGTGTATTTCCTGTAGCTGACAGCTTTATTTTCTTGGAGTATGTACTAGCATACAGTATAGTCAAGCCTGTTCTCTTTTTCCTTGTAACAATGTTGTCTTAACACAATGGGGTTTCATTTTACTGTAGAAAAAACAATTCTATTGGCTGAAGAACATATATATACCAATATATATCTTCATTACTAGCTGCATTTTTGTCAAGTAGGGTGACTATAAAACAATATTTTGCCTTTTCCTTTTTTTTTCTTTTTTTTTTTTTTTTTAAATTTATTTCAGGTTTTTGTCACTGCCTAACAGTAGCAGAGTTCATTGCAAAGGTTCTGGTTTTAAAAGCCAGCCAGCTTTTCTAGTCGCTTCTTTCTGACACCTGGTTTTAAATCAAATTATGCTGACCAAACTCTTATCTCACTTGTATAGAAATAGCCTGCTGTCCATGATGCAAGTTTCTAAAGGAGTTTGAGACTTTGCAAGGCTTACAATGTCAAGAGTGCCAGCTGAAAAGAAAACCTGATTCTCCAGAAAAAGATTATATGGTTCTACTTGATCTGTGGATGCCACCAGACAGTGTGGTCTTTGATTCCTTTACTCATTGATCTGTATTGAAGCATGTATTCATTCACACACTGTAAATGCATCAGTCCTTGCAACTTACTAAAGGAAAATATGCAAATTGAAGGATTTGATAATACTTCCAAGTGTTTGAGCATGTGATTAAAGGAAGAGCAAGACAGAAGCCTAATTTCTTCTGATTCCTTTCTTTTGATTGAAATAATAAGATGCATAGTATTTCTTCTGTTTTATTCACGTTTCTTTCTGGAGCTTATAGCTAGTCCTTTTTAAAGCTACAATATAGTTGATTTGTTCCCCTACTGTCATTCTGCTCTTAAGGAGGGTGTAGAAGTGACTCACTTTCTGCCTAATGCTGTCTTTAATTGATGACTCATCTGCTCATCCCACCATTAGTGGTCTCTTATGCACTGACTTGATCAGCAGGTGTTCCACGTAGCACCCTGTTTAGACACAGGCTGTTACAGTGCCGTTCTTCAGGCGTAAAAGTGGCTGGCCTATTTGGCAACAGTTTTCTGCTGTTTTCCCCAAGCAGTGTTACCAAAGAAAAGGGACCACCCACTGACAGATCCGAGAGGAAAAGGAGTTCTTTACAGCTGGAATATTCAAAAGCTTCCGGAAACCTTTCACTCTTGAACAGGGATGGTACCTCTTTCACTGGAGTCTTTGACAAAGCTTCTTAACATGAGAAAAAGGAAATGTCTATGATTATGTTAAAGCCAAAAAGGTCTTTGTATAGCAAGCCTGTCATCAACTAAGTATTATCTCTGCTATTCAGAGCCTTTGTCATTGAGTCTGAACATGACATTGAGCATTGAATCAACATTCAGAAATACCCATCCGCATCTAGCTCACAGCAGCTCTTGTACTCTGCATTGGTAGTTCGCACAGTTTTTGGTAAAAATTATGGGGGTTTTCACATTATATTTAACAGTAACCAGAAGTGTTGCTTGTTTCTGTTTAGATGAGAGTCCTTACACAAAATCTGCAAACCAGGCAAAGGCACCTGATGGAGCACTGTCTGTGAGAAGACAGAGTATTCCAGGTAAGACTTGCTTTGCTTTTTATAACACCTAACTTGTTTGTGAACAGCAAGGTAATGCTAAGCAAAATTCAGCTAGTTATAAAAAGCAAATGAATTACAGTTGCTACCAAGCAACTTTATAAGGAAGGTTCCATGGGAACTGTATAGAGCTCCTACAGTTAGGTTACCTTGAGCTTTTGCTATGAAGAACATCCCAGTGTCTCTGTCTTTTGCAGCAGGCTTCAGGCATGGATTACGGCAACCTTTTCATCAGACTCGCGTATTTTCAGGCCCCATGAAATCTGTTCTTTAACATCTGTTTTTAACAGTATAGGCAGATTGGAGCTTTTATTTTCCAGGGCTGATTGGACAGGCTTAGAAATACAGTGAGCAACACTGTCAGAATTCTCATCTTAACATAGTTTTCTTCCACACGTATGCCCATCCTTGTCTTTTCTGTCATTGTATTGCTTAAAGCTGGATCACTAGGTCAATGGTTAAAATATGTGATCTTTGAACCTATTTCATAGTCATAGAATCATGGAATGGCTAGGGTTGGAAAGGACCTTATGATCATCTAGTTCCAAACCCCTGCCATGGGCAGGGACACCTCACACTAGAATATGTCGCCCAAGGCTCTGCCAGCCTGGCCTTGAACACTGCCAGGATTGGAGCATTTGCCACTTCTCTGGGCAACCTGTTCCATTGCATCGTCACCCTCACAGTAAGTAGGATGATGAGTAAGTAAAGAACTTTTTCCTTATGTCTGACCTGAGCTTGGCCTGTTTAAGTTTAAACCCTTGTCCTATCACTACAGTCCCTGATGAAGAGTCCCTCTCTGGCATCCGTACAGGCCCCCTTCAGATACTGGAAGGCTGCTATGAGGTCTCCACGCAGCCTTCTCTTCTCCAGGCTGAACAGCCCCAACTTTATCCATCTATCTTCATATGGGAGGTACTCCAGTCCTCTTATCATCCTCGTGGCCCTCCTCTGGGCTTTCTCCATCAGCTCCATGTGTTTCTTTTTAAATGACTTCAAACAAGCCTGCAGAATATGCCTATGAATATCAAGTTTTATATATATGATGCAGCAGTCTAAAGGGATTTTCACCTTCAGTAAGATTTCAGAGATCTTTAAAAGAAAACAAATGAACACTGACAAAGGTTGCGCAAAGGCAGAATGGCTGATGTTGCCAGTCTCACCTCAAGCACAGTAACGTTTGACTTAGAGGGAAGATATCTTGCAATAGAAATTGGAAACTGCAAGGTCAGGTCACCCACCTTCTAATGACTAATGTTAATATTCTTTGCACTCCATGGCCTTATTGTTGAACAAAGTTAGGCAACCTGCACGGAGACTATAGATACAGGGGATGGAGCTTAGACCTTTACCACTGCCAGGTTCAGATCTCATCCCAATAGCTCTAGTGTTTCGGAAGGGCCAAAGTACATGTTTTGTGCATGCTTTGTGTGCATGTTTAGATGTGTGAGAGAGAGCAAGCTGGATGATTTACTGTCACACATAATGAACTTTTTGACTGTTGAAAACAGTCTAGTGATTTAAAGATTGTTATTGTTATGGTAGAATCATGGAGATCATAACCACTGTGAAATGATGTGACTCCAGTGTCTAGTGTGCAGTTACTGTTATGAGAAAAAGATCTTTAATTATACAAGGACCAAACCGCTTTTTTTTCTCCAAGTCAATACTAATCAAGATTCACTGTTCTTCAGAGTGAATTAAGACCTCTGTACGGGTACCTTTTCACGTAATTCTTTAGCTCATAGGTCACCAAATTAAATGCACAGAATATCTGCTTTTTTTTTTTTTAATCTTCTGACTTTTTCACTGTGAACTTAGCAGTTGCCATTTATTATGTGGTTACTGTATTTCTAAAACACTTATGTTGAGGTCCAAATACAGACGGAAGTTCATGGCTTCAGGTGATATTTTGAGAACTCCTGATGATTTTCACTTGTGTTCTTTAAGGAGAAAGTTTGATGAAAACTGAACCAGTACAATTTTTTCTTCAGAGCATTTGGTAAGATTAGGAATTTCATATGTTGAATAGTTGTCATGACCATTGACCATTTATTTTCAATATTTTACAAATTTTCTGTGTATTCTGGAGTTCTTGAGAGCATTGCAGATGAATCTTTACTATGTGCTCTGCATAAGTCACAGTTTATTCAGAGAGAAAATAGTGACAAGTGGTTGGGGAAATGTTCTCTGTCAGGTGTTCTGAAAAAAACTGATCTAAGCTTATGTATGTTCATCAGCTTTTAATATAGTGAAAACATTTATCTTAATGCATTGTTGCATCTCTAGACCTTAGGAGCCCCAATGGATAAATGAGATTGAGCTGGCTTGATGTTAAAAAAATAATAATTAAAACTTCTTCATGCCTTGACAAATTCACATTCTAGCACAGTGGGTGTCATGAAGTTAGATACATAAATAGCTTTATTAAACTAAGTACTATTTTGAGAAGTAACTTGAACATTTAGGAGTTGAGTGAACTTTCTGAAAATAATCCATAAATGTTTATATCACTTGGATACAGAGAACATTTGATGCCACATCTGTCATGTAAGCTGCACCTTGTAAATAGCATCTATGCTTGCCTGTCTGTGGGCAGTTTATTGACATTATGGATTAGTCTTGACACAGATGCAGGAGCATCTCAGCTAGGCAGCTTCGCTTGGCAGTAGGAGGTGTACCAGTAGTATTAACTAGTACCATTAACCCGTTAAGTAGCATGAGACCAGAAGTACAGCCTCTTTGCTTGGGGACAGGATCACACTTCTGTAGGTCAGCTCCAAATAGCTTTTGAATTGGAAAGCATGATCCAGTGAACCTGGTAAATTCTTCTAAACCTGATTGGAGACATGTCAGCTGGAGTTACTGTCAGTAATCCTTACATGAAAAGCATATACTGTATGGAAAACATTCATTTCAATTCCCCCCAGATGGTAAGCCTGATAAAACATCACATTCCTGAAGTGCTGTGTTTTCAAGCTTGAAGCATGGCAGTGCCTTTGACAGTATAGCTGTCTAATTCACTTGACGCTCTGTCATTCCCAAGGCACGGACAGCAGATGTCCTGTTCCCAAGGAATGCTCTGGCCATTGAATCAGCCAAGAGAAAAATTCTGGGTTTTAGCAAGGTAAACAATCTTATACTGAGCTTTGCACAGGTTTGAACAGTCTGTGGAAAAAATACTAATGAAAATGTATGTCCAGCATGTGTGATGTGAATCTGCCTGCAGAGTGTTGGTTCATGTCATCTCCCTGTGCCTGGTAAAAGTTCTTTCTCATGACATTTGAAATCACTATAATGGGTTCTAGTGCTCCTTCCTTTGGCCCAGTATCAAAAAGGAGAGCTTTTGTTGTTGTGAGACCTGAAACTACTATACCAACTGTAAACCCCAAGAGGCTTTTGTGTCCTTCCATGTGAAACAGTATGGTGAGTACAGTATTGATGAGCAGAGACTGAATGCACAGAGAAGTCATATAATTCTATAGAGGTTACGTGGAACTCAGGCTTGGTTTATTTTACAGGAAAAAAATGTTGAAATAATCATTTTATAATTAAAGTCAAATGAGCACATACTGTGAGATCAGTGCAATGAGTTTAATTCGTTTCATCCCCAGAAGCAGGGAATGGATTAAGCATCTCTCTGGAGCAGAACTTGCTTGTTTAAGATGCAGAATGCATTATTCATGTGATGAGACTACATATCATATTTATCATGTCTTCACATGGCGCAAAATCAACAAGCAACAGATCCTTTCAAAGGGATTTACAGAATTGCTGAAATTATAGTTAATTCAAATTATATGCATTAATATAATTGAAGCTTGAAACTTGGACTTAATTTTTCAGATGTGTAGGTGTTTAGTTGTAGCTGTATATACACGATGGTTTGAACCATTGTTTAGCTTTACAGTTGGAATTTCTTAACATAAAAATGAGGCTTGAGGTAAAGCCAGCATGACAAGCAGTCTGCAGAGTAAGAAACAAACAGATTTTTTCCTCTGAACCTTTAAATTTATATGTTGACCAGTACGTAATGAAACCTTATTGCTACTCTGCCCACGTAGTATGTTACGGAAGCCAAGGGGGGCTGTACTATGCCTCATTCAGGAAGCTATCGCTGTCGGACTAAGGCACATAAATGAAAGCAACATGTTTCAGAATTCATAGGTAAGACCCTTCCCTTAGAGTCAGATGCAGGTAAAAATGTCTGCCATTTAAAAAGGAAGTGTTTGATACTCACTTGTTAGCTAACCTTTTGTCCCTAGGTTTAGACAGCTGTACTTCCCACTGAGTTCCTGCGCTAAGGTTTCCTCCTGATTTGCCCAAGGGTCCATGTGGTGACTGGCCAAGGGGAAACATTAAGTCAGTAGCACTTGAGTCAAAGGTGTTGCTCTTGTGATTGCTTATTCCTGCAGGAGCTTTAAAAAGGGCATCAAACAGTCCAACAGTTCTGATACAATGTCAGGAGCTGATGACACTGTTGAAGAGGCACTTTGAAGTCAAGGAGAGTTTAACATATGTTTAAAGATAAGCTTGTTCTCAGTGTTGTCCTGAATATGGGCAGGCTAAATAGCTGCTCCCACGCTTCCTGGACTAAAATCCAATGCCCCTTATCTGTTTTAGCAACATGGAGAAATCTGTCACACTAATGCTGTGCAGATTGTTCACTTCATTTATTTATTTGTCTATTTTCAATGTACTCACTGAAAACTGGAGGAATAGAGGGGGAAGAAATTACCTGAGCCAAGCATAAAACTAATTCCTTCATCAAACAAACAAAAAAGACACCATAAATTTGAGGCTGATTAAATTATTTCATAAAATCTGCAGCAAAAGTTTCATTTTGTTTTAGTCCAATTCTGTACAAACTTTTTATTAAGTCTTAAAGGTTACTTTTTATTTTTAATAAAATAAATAGTCAAAACCCCCGTAGTTTTTAAAGAACTGAAATGTTTCAGCTTCTCAGTGTTTTGTTTTTGTTG